ATCCGGTGTTTCCGTTAGTTAATTTATATTTATAACACAACCAGTGTTGTGAGCAATAAACGCTTAATTAAAACGGGATAAATAATGTGTTGACATAAATGACTTAAAACTGGTGCGTGTAATTGTCTAATATTTAGTTATTTTGCCTGAGTGGTGTGGAAACCCCTGGAATTGGGTTTCTCTGTTCGTGTCTGGCTGTGCTGGACGTGCGTCAGCTCCCTGGGTCGAGGGGTGTTTGTGGGGGGCCAGGGTCGATCATCTCGGCTGTTTTAAACCCTCAGTTCCTGTGAGCCTGTGGCTGAGCCTTCCTTCCCCAGGGCTGCTCTGGAACGTCTTCAAATGTCAAACAGACTTTTCCTTTCTTTTTGAAACTTGTGTGCAGAGATGACCCAGCACTGACTGCTTCTCTCTTGTTCTTTCTTTTTCCTTCCCCTCATCTGAACACAGCTGGATTTGGAGGAGTTGGTTTTTAAGCTGCAGTACATCTTCTCACACCCTGAGTGCTGGGTTCAGTGTTGGGCCCCTTACTCCAAGAAGGACATGGAGGTGCTGGAGCGTGTCCAGAGAAGGGAACGGAGCTGGGGAAGGGTCTGGAGCACAAGTGTGCTGAGTTCCCTTGTGGCTGAGGGCACTGGGGGGGTTGAGCCTGGAGAAAAGGAGGCTGAGGGGAGACCTTGTGGCTCTGTGCAAGTCCCTTGGAGGAGGGTGGAGAGAGGTGGGGGTGGGTCTGTTCAACCAAGGCCCAAGGGACAGGACAAGAGGAAATGGGCTCCAGTTGTGCCCAGGGCAGTTGAGATGGGATGTGAGGAAGAATTTCTTTGCTGAAAGGGTTCTGAGGCATTGGAAGGGGTTGCCCAGGGCAGTGGTGGAGTCCCCATCCCTGGAGAGATTGAAGAGTCGTGTAGACATAGTGCTGAGGGACATGGGTTAGTCAGGGACTTGTCAGTGTTGGGTTCATGGTTGGACTCGATGAGCTTAAAGGGCTTTTCCAATCCAGACCATTCTCTCTGTGTGTGATTCTGAATCAGCTAGAGAGGGAAGGCATCTGTCAAATATCAGAATAAGCTTAGGTCATAAATTATTTCATGTTTAAAATGAGTTGCTTTAGGTTTTTCAAATTTTATAGCTGTAAACAACCTTTAAACTGGTTTAATTTTTTTTTTTTCAAGTGTTGGGACTGCCTTTTGCATAACCCACTCCTTTTACACCTTGATTTTGTTCTTTACAGAGATAAGCTGTGAACGGTAGCAGCTGCTTTAATTTGGCACCTCTGCTCTGTATGTTAAAGCTGTAGCGATACTGCTTTGATATTTAATTTCTTAACTTATAAATTATGTTTATTCTTAAATCAATTTTGAAGACACATCTCCAACACTCACCAAAGAAACCAGCTTTTGATGCAGGTTTCAGGAGTGGCCCAGGTTGTGGGGAAGAACTGGTTGTTAATGAAATAAACTGCTCCTCTTACAGAGTCGTGCTCTTCTCCTGTAGAACAGAAGCGGTGTAGTGCTCTGTGGAGTCACATCGTGTTCCTGTGGCTGTTAAATGCCTTGAACTGTTCATTTTAATGAGCAGTTTCCATATAAAGTTATGGAATTCTGAACTGTTTACCTTAAAGGAAAGTTGTATTTATTTGGTTTCCAGATGGTGCACAGAATGGAGAATAAAAATAATTATTTTTTTTAAAAAAAACAGTAATTAGAAAACTTGCAGAGTGGACCCTGTGGAGCTTTTAACCCTGCTCCCTCGTTCCTTGGCTTGGTGGTCTCCCAGGAGAACAGGAACTGTGATCTCACGTGTTGAACCTGCTGAAGTTTGGATACAGGTGTTTTTCCTTTCCATCAGTGTTTTCCCTCCGCTGGTATTGATGGTTTATCAGTGTGTTTGTTGAAGTGAGAGCGAGACATCTGCTTGTTCTCTTGTCAGGCTTTCAGTGGGAAAGAATTCTGGAGGTACCTAGTGGGGTGGGGAATGCTTGGGTTTTAAATGCTGAACTTATTTATTTGCCATCTTCTCTGAGAAGTGAAGGGGAATAGGAGTGGCAGTGGCTATGGTGCATTTGAGGATGGAGCTCTCGTGCTGTTCTTCACCCAGAACAGATTCACAGCTAAAGGTGTTGTGTTTTACCTGGGTATTTATTGGGTGTCCTGGAGTCCATTAGTCCTCGGGATCTGGTTTGGATGTGGGGAAGGTTGGGCTGAGTGCCTCAGGCGAGATCAGCTGGGCTGAGCCTGGCAGAGCAGCACCAGCACAGCCCCCTTAGGCTGGCCTGGCCTTGGGGAGCAGGGCAGGGCTGGGCAGCAGTTTGGCAGGGCGATCACAGTGAAGAGTGGGAGGTAGCTGGAGTCTGTCCTGAGGGGCAGGAGGAGCCCTTGGCATGGAGCTGTGTGCGGAGCAAGTGACTGCACGAGGGACTGGCCTAAGTGCTTTTTCTGGCCCTCTGATGCTGGTTAGTTTGTGGAGACATCATTAGTGTAGACTGAGCCTGCTGCTGGTAGTAATTATTTCCTTTGCAGAGTTATCACTTAAGCCAGTCCAGCTGGGCATTGAGGGTACGTTTTAACTGGTACTTAATTTGCAAAGAAGTTACTGATTTGTACCAAGTAGGAGAATTGAGTAAATGAACATAGTTCTTTATGTGGAGTAAACTTCCACCAGACTCACACAGAAAAACTGTGTTGGTTCACTTTTATACCTCAATAGCTACGTGTGATAGTTTTTTAGAAAAACAATCGTTCATGAGTGCAGATGTTAAGATGTGTGACTGCTATTAACATGGCTTTTTAATTGTGAATTAGGCACAAGAGTGGAGCAGATCTGATTGATGGAGGTTTGTGGTGAAATATACGAACGCCTGAAGCACTTGGGTGACTCTTGCTTAATAATTCACAGCCAAGTTCTCCTGGAATCTTCACTGCATGAATCTTCACTGCATGAATCTTCACTGCATGAATACTGAGTCTTTTTGTTTCCGCAGGACCTCGCGCTACGGACCAGCAGTAACCTGAGCCATGGAGAACGCAGAGAGCACGGAGGAGGAGAAGCCGACTGTCAGCAATGAGAGCACAGACAACGGCGCTGAAACGGCAACCGAGGAACAGCAAATGGACTTCAGTACAGAGATTATGAGTGTGACTGAGATGGAACAATCACCTGATAGTTCCCCTGACCTAAATGAAGAGAACACGCAGGAGAGTGAAATTCCAAATATCGAAAGTTTACAGACATCGGATATTGAGACCTGCTTCCCTCCAGATTTTGACAAGTTCTGGAAAGTAGTAGAGGACAATCCCCAGGATTTCACAGGATGGGTGTATCTACTGCAGTATGTCGAGCAGGAGGTTAGTACCTGCCCCCTTATTCCTTATCCTTCCAGAAATAAACAAAGAGAAACCAAAACAAGTCGTGGATATTCCAGTGACAGATCTCAGACTGCACATCAGGCTTTCACAGGTACTGTTTGCAGACAGTTGCCCTTGCCAGTGCTCTCAGCAGAGATCACAAACTAAAGCCAGTTCTTTTTAAGACAATGTTAAAACAGTTGTTTTTAAAATAACGCGAATGCTTTGGGTTTGTTTGTTTGTTGTTTTTTTTTAAGGAAAAGATTCATTGCTTTTCTTGTGTGTTTCTTGCAGAACCACTTGCCAGCTGCCAGGAAAGCATTTGACAGGTTTTTCACGCATTATCCATATTGCTATGGATACTGGAAAAAGTACGCCGACCTGGAGAAGCGACACGACAACGTTAAGCAGTCTGATGAGGTATGTAGGCAGCTGGGCACAGCTATTGCCATCGGTCCTGTTAGCCAAATAATGACTGAGGGGCTGCGAGTCATTTGGCTGCCAGTACCCGCCGTGTACGCTCAGGTTTGTAGGGGTTTTGTTTGCACTTGTCACCTCTGTGGCATTTGTAGCTAATGTTTTTTCTCTTTGTTGGCAGGTGCGTTAAACCTCTACAGTTTGTCAAGCTTTGCAGTGCAAGCCTCTGTATTACACTGCAGCTTAACAAGTAGGGCAGGGCTTTTCTGTCACTTTACGTTTATTACTCATTTTCAAAACAATATAGTTGGTTTTGCTGGTCACAATTGCTACATCTTATTGCATTTTTGGTCAGACGCTGTCAATGATGCTCTAATGGGTCTGTGCCCTATGGTCTGTACCCCAAAGCCTGCCCACACAACCTGGTCAGAATGCAGGGACCGCTGCGCTTTGAAGATCAAGACTCTGCACGTGGAGATCAGAACATTGCCATGTTCTATCCAACCTCCACCCAAATGGTAATGGTAGATTATTTAAACAAAATTCCAGTAATTAGTATTTCTAAGGTTCACCGGATAACACAGTGTTGCCTCTCTATTAGGACGCCATTGAGTATTTGAAGTACAGTTGGTGTTCTCTTCATAGGTTTATCGCAGAGGGCTTCAGGCAATTCCTCTTAGTGTTGATCTTTGGATACATTATATTAACTTCTTAAAGGAGACCTTGGACCCTGCTGACCCTGAGACTAACAGCACTATTCGAGGGTAAGTTGGCAGCAGGCTGAGGGCTACGAGAAGCCCGAATGTACAGTCACAAGCAGTGTGATCAGATTAATACCAAAATGCCAATTTCATGATGGGACTCAATGATCTTAAAGCTCTTTTCCAATCTAGGCAAGTCTGTGATACATTTAAGCAAAGGGACAAGCTAAGAACAACCTGCAGTTCCTTAAAGACTTTTAAAAGGTGATGGAGCCAGATTCCCTAAGAAAGAGTAGACAACACAGTGCGGTACAAGCATCACGTGTTCTGACTTGATATCTTCAGAGCAGACATTAGGAAATACTTAGTGCAGCCCTGGAACAGATTCCCCACAGAATTTTTGGGATTTAATTCCTTGTAGGTTTTCAGGGTATGGCTGAAATGTATCTGACCTCATCTGTTACCAGCCCTGGTCCTGGTTAGAGTAAGAGGTTGGACTAAAGTTTGACCCAAAACCTTAACTGAACTTTAACTGAAGCAGCTTCTAGCTGCATGTGTGCCAGACTGCTAAAGTAATGGGTTTAGAATGTTTCCAGAGTGAAAGTGGTAAAGTTTGTGTATTTTCCTAATATCTGGCGTTCCTGCAGGAGGCTTTTTCTGGTCCCTTTATTTGTTCTGTTGTGATAGTGCTGGAGGGAAAAAAAAAAGTGAGTGTGAACTTTCTAAAATTCTGTAGATCTTGCTAGAGATATCTAGAAAATACTTTGAAGAATTTAAATAATGAATATAAGTGTGGTTGCAAGTAAATGAGGCTGCTCATAATCTTTAAACAACTGAGAGCCAGAACTTTTCTTCCTTGTTCTGTCACCACATGTAGAATTATTTGATTTTCCAGAGCCTATGAACACGCAGTCTTAGCTGCTGGGACAGATTTCCGTTCTGACAGACTATGGGAAATGTATATAAACTGGGAAAACGATCAGGGAAACCTAAGGGAAGTTACATCCATATATGACCGCATCCTCGGAATTCCAACACAACTCTACAGTCATCATTTCCAGAGGTAAAGAGAAAACAAAGCTCTAGTTAGTGCTGTGAGCTGAACCTCCTTCTGTAAAGGTGAAAATGTCCACCCAGAACAAGAGCTTCAAGTAGTAACTGAGTTTTCTGTGCTTATTTATGTATTTGTGTACTCACACACACAGTCTGACTGATTGTTTTAAAGCACTGACACACATTTTAGGAATTTGGTTTTAGATAAATTCACAAATGCTGCTGTGGAATAAAAGAAGACCTTGGAATTGTGAGGAAGAAGAGAGGATGTCTGTAGAAAATCAGAATGAGCAGTTTTGAACTTTAATTCCTCGAGCAATGCTCACATGTGGTGAAACAGCAATTTAACTGACTAAAGGGAAATACTTGGTTAAGCTTTGGATAGTCGAATTGTGCATTAATACAAAGAGGTTAAGGAGGAACCAGAAACCTTAGTTAAATTATGTGCTAATCATCCCCAACTTCTACAGCTCTATTGGTTTGAAAACAAAGTAACTTCCTCTAAAACTGATCTTGTCCTTTGCCACTGATGGTCTGTCTTTGCCACTGAAGCTCATCCACCTTCTGTTTCTCTTTGAGAGGGGAAGCTTTTGAAGTCTGATAGATAGCAGCGTGGTGCCAGGGAGTTGTCAGGAGCTGCATTCCCAGCTTTGCTCTAGGTGGATGCAGTAATGGGGAACCCCACTGGGATTTATTATCCTGCTCTGGTCCCGCAGAGTATTGCGACATCAAATTTGTGTGGACTTGTTTCTGACTGTTCTTAGGTTTAAAGAACACATACAGAACAACTTGCCTCGAGACTTTCTGACTACTGAGCAGTTTGTTCAGCTGCGCAGGGAACTGGCATCTGTGAACGGCCATAGTGGGGAGGAGGCACAAGCTGGGGACGACCTGCCCTCTGGTACTGAAGATATAACTGACCCTGCCAAGGTGTGTACACAGAGGGTGTTTGTTGGCACTTCCTGCCTTACTCTGCGGCTGAAAGATGAGTTTATTTGTGGACTATTTAGTATATCTGTAGCTGAGGTGTTCCCATAGTTCTCCTGCCTGTCATTGCTCTTTGGCTCATGGGATAACTGCTTTTGTCTACAGGACACACCTTTCCAGTGTTTTCATAGATACTAAAGAAACTGAGTTAAAAATGAAAGAAGTGATGGACACTCATCACTGTCGGTCTGTTCAACCAAGGAACAAGGGA